CGGCATATCGGCTGATAGAATGGCTCCGAGTTTTTTGCTTCATTTTTTCAAGTACAAACTTTTAGCTCTCCCATCGAATTCTTGTGGCTTCCTTCACACTGGATCACTCCTATTACTGACATTCATATCTGGGATGTGACTTCTAATCCCTGCAGCTAAACCCTAATGCAGACATATTCAGTCCCAATTGTTAGAAGAAAAAGAAAAGAAACAAGAAGAACGAGAAAAGAAACAAGAAGAAAGATTACAGCAGTGGCAAGAAAACCTACAACAATGGCAGCTCGAACAGCAAAATAAACAAGAGAGATTACAGCAGTTGTTGGAGAAAAAGAAAAGAAACAAGAAGAGAGATTACAGCAGTTGTTGGAGGAGAAAGAAAATAAACAAGAAGAGAAATTACAGCAGTAGTTAGAGGAGAAAAAAATAAACAAGAAGAACGAGAAAAGAAACAAGAAGAGAGACTACAGCAGTGGCAACTGGAACAAGAAAGGAAACAAGAAGTACAAATGGAAAACATTAGTAAATTTAAAAGCGAATTAGGTACATTAAAGGATGATTTATTGTCTTTTACACAAGGAGGACACATTAGCCATTGACTTAACCAGACCCAGACAATGACAAGCTCCTTCCAGAGAAGAAGAGAGATTACAGCGTTTATTTTCTTTCTCCTCTAACAACTGCTGTAATCTTTCTTCTTGTTTCTTTTTTTTTCCTCTATCAACTGCTGTAATCTCTCTTCTTGTTTATTCTGTTGTTCGAGCTGCCACTGTTGCAGGTTTTCTTGCAACTGCTGTTGTCTCTCTTCTTGTTTCTTTTCTTGTTTATTTTCTCGTTCTTCTTGTTTCTTTTCTCGTTCATTTTCTCGTTCTTTTTGTTTCTTTTGCTGCTCTTGTATTGCTGCCATCAAGTCTGCCAAGCTGTAGGTTGATTTTCCGCTTCTCGTTTCCATTTTTTTCATCCCACTTCTAACACCAATTTGTTACGTCTCCGTTTGTTAATTAGCTTTCCGTAACTTAGTTCCGACGAAACTTTAGCGGCACAAGTCCTTACTTAATAAAACTGGTTTATTCTTTCCGAATACAACTTTACGATACACTTATTTTCAACAATCACGCTAAAACAAACGCTATAACGAACGTTAACTTAAACAATACGTCTCTCTATGACTGCAGTTCAATTACTCATTAGGTACACACACATTCTTGTCCCGTCACGTTATCGCCCTCTTTGATATACCAGACTACCCTATATCTAGTAAATGCTAGAGCATTCGCCAAGGTACAGGATAGTTCTAGAAACGTGGCGTCACACTAGTCATGTGACTCGCTGACGCAATAATGCCATACCTATCTGACAGTTCTATGCTGAGCCATAATATAATGTTTAGGGACAAAACGAGACCTATTGGTCCATCTAGGCTGTCCCATT